ATTTTGGTCCTTCGAGCCGGATACGGTGAGCGGCTTGAGGATGAGAGTGAGTCACATAGAGAGTCGGATTGAGCAGCAGCTCACTCTCAAAGAGTTAATCGATACTGCAATAGACAGATTGATTAGAGTCGGATATGCAAATATCACTCCTCAGCGAGTAAATGCAAGACTTGCATCTCTTAAGGAGAGTTGGGAGAAATTTTCCCTTGTTCACGACGCTATCGGTTTAGCGATTTCTAGATTGAATTCGGAAGACGCTACATCTCTGTTAAGTCACTCATATTTCTCGGAAGGTTTCTTCTCTTCAACTCATGAGAACTATCTCGAAGCAGTGGAAAAAATGAATCTGCTGCTTGAACAGGAAACTGGAGTTACACACCGGATGCCCTCGACTCCCAGTGGTTCTCATACTTCAGCCACTCCTTCTTTTTTTCACCATGCTCGACTTCCTCGAATCGATCTTCCTAAATTCAATGGTTCGCCAGCGGATTGGTTGTCTTTCAAAGACTTATTTAGTTCTCTTGTTGTAGACAATCCTACTCTAACTTTAGTGGAGAGACTTCAATATCTGAAGACTAGTCTAACGGGATCTGCATCGCATTTGTTAAAAAATACCACACTCACTGCTGACAATTTTCAAAAGGCGTGGGATGCATTGATAGCCTTTTATGAAAATAAGCGGTTGTTGGTAAATGCCGCCCTCCATTCTTTACTCTCTCTCAAACGCATGACACGGGAATCAGCAGCTGAAATGGAGCAACTTTATACTAACGTCATGCAGATTTACCGCACTTTAGAGACACTAAAACGCCCAGTGCAATCATGGGACGATTTCCTTGTCTTTATTGCGGTACAACGTCTCGATGCCGAATCAGTGAAGGCATGGGAGCACACGCTAGGATTGTCAAAGGAACCTCCTACGTGGAATCAGTTTAGCGAGTTCCTTGTTACTAGATTGCTGTCGCTACAGGCTTTTGAAAAGTCGCGAATGAGTAAACCTCAAAGCCAAGGTACTGTAAAATCTCATTTCCAGGGAAAAGGTAAGGATAATACCAATAAAACGGTTTCTTGCGCAATATGTGGTTCTAATCATTATGTGTCAAGCTGTCCGCAGTACACGTCTAAAACAGTTTTACAACGATTAGCTATAATCAATAAATTCAAACTGTGTTTTAATTGTTTGGGTTCCCATCGTGCTGCAGTTTGCAGGATCACTAAACGATGTCAAAAATGTGGACATAAGCACCATACTACGATCCATCAGACAAAACCCGTTGCCTCTGACCCTGGAACTAATAAGTCGACTGACTCATCTGAGAAAACTTCCAAGCCTTCAGATGCTCACGTGCTTCATTCTTCTAAAGAAAAAACGACAACCACGTCCGTCCTTCTCGCAACAGCTCAGGTTACAATTGTAAATTCCAGCGGAGAAACAGCAAAGGCAAGAGCATTGGTCGATCAAGGATCGGAAATAACTTTAATCTCAGAACGCTTAGTTCAATTATTACGACTTCCTCGAGTTAAATCCTCTATCTCGTTAGTGGGAGTAGGCGCACAAAAATCTAATCAAACAAAGGGTTTAGTCTCTTTTCAAATGAGGCCGCATTTCAAATCAAAATCTGAATACCGCGTTTCCGCACACATTTTACACAAGCTAACAGGATCAATTCCCTCCATCTCAACGGACAAGAAAATGTGGCCTCACATACAAAATCTGCAGTTAGCTGACAATGACTTTACCTCGCCGGAGCACATTGATCTTATTTTAGGAGCGGATGTCTATGCTCAAATTCTCGAAGAAGGAGTCATGAAGGGAGATGCAAATTCACCAATTGCTCAACGGACTTCTCTTGGATGGATTATATCTGGCCCTTCCGGTATTAATACATTATCTAACAAGGTACAAGGATATCATATTTCTCTCGATAGTCAGCTTTATGAATTAATTCATCGGTTTTGGGATGTTGAAGAAATCCCATCGATTACTCCGTCACTTTTGTCCCCAGAAGATTTAGATTGCGAGCAACATTTTTTGTCCACGCATACGCGAGATGATCAAGGGCGTTATATTGTAAGACTTCCATTCAAGCATCCGCCGGAAAACCTTGGAGACTCCAAATCAAAGGCTTTTCGAGTAATTAATGGTCTTTCCAGGAAATTGGAAAGCGATCCAGAATACTCTACACTCTATTTTGACTTTTTGAAAGAATACGAGCAAATGCAACACATGACTCGCGTTCTCGATTCCCAATCAGAACCACCAATAGCATATTATCTTCCACATCATGGAGTCAAACGAGAAGGTAGTTCCACAACGAAATTAAGAGTCGTCTTCAATGGTTCGAGCCGTTCCTCTACAGGCTGGTCTCTAAATGATATCCTTCACACTGGAGCAAAACTTCAAGTCGACCTACTCAATGTCCTGCTTTGGTTTAGACAATTTCGATATGTTTTTTCCTCTGATGTGGAAAAAATGTATCGACAAATCAAGATACATAAAGCGGATTGGGACTTCCAACGTATACTCTGGATGGATACTTTCAATAAAATCTCCACTTATCAATTAACCACAGTAACATATGGTTTAGCTTGCGCCCCGTTCTTAGCGCTCCGTTCGTTAGACCAATTGATTGCCGATGAAGGTGCAAAATTTCCTCTTGCAGTTCCAGTTCTACAAAGAGGACGTTATGTAGATGACATTTTCGGAGGAGGTGACTTCATTTCAGAAGCTCAAGAAATTGCAAAACAAACCAATCAACTCTGTATGGCGGGCGGGTTTCCGCTCCACAAATGGGTAAGCAATAATCCTGACGTCCTTCAATCAATACCAACTAACAAGCAAGATGGTTCATCGTCTTTTCAAATCGAAGATCATACTATGACTAATGCTCTCGGACTGTGCTGGAAACCTTTAACAGACACTTTCCATTTTACAATGGAGTTGACATCTACTTCATTAATTACTAAAAGAAGCGTTCTATCGTCAATTGCCAAGTTATTCGACCCTCTCGGATTAGTTTCTCCTGTTATCATTAAAGCCAAGATTCTTATGCAGGAGTTGTGGTCGATTAAGCTGGGCTGGGACGATCCGCTGCCTTTGGACGTAGCCACTAAATGGAAGAAGTTTGTCGAACAGCTACATGATTTGCCTCATTTAGAATTCCCTCGTTGGTTAGGCACTCGAAAGGATCATGTTATGGAAATCCACGGCTTCTGTGATGCTTCTCAACGTGCAATGTGTGCAGCTGTTTATATTCGCGTAATCTCGAATTGCGGAGAGATCACGACAAATATAGTCTATTCTAAGACAAAAGTCGCGCCTTTAAAACGGCTAACTATTCCACGTCTTGAGTTGTCTGGTGCTGTTATACTCGTTAAACTGGTCACTCGCATTCTTCTCGTGTGGAAATTAGAAAGTCCATCAATATACCTGTGGACAGATTCTGCATTAACCTATACTTGGATAAATAATCATCCATCGCGCTGGAAGGATTATATTCACAATAGAGTTTGTTTTATTCAAGAATCATTGCCTCATGCTATTTGGAGATTTGTACCCGGGACAGAAAATCCAGCAGATTGTGCCACACGCGGATTAACACCGAATCAGCTCTCGCAACACTCGACTTGGTGGACTGGACCACCTTGGCTTCAGTTAAGTCCTTCTTCATGGCCTCAAACACCTCAATCACCAAAGCAAGGAGATAATTTAGAGGAACGAGCACCTCAAGTTTCTGTTGCAACTCAAGTCAAATCTACTGAACCTTGGACCTTAATTGACCGATATTCGAGTATTACACGGTTACTTAGAATTACTGCATGGTGCCGAAGAAGCGTTGCCCGGTTTCAACGATCGTCAGACAATTCAACAGGCCCATTAACTACTCACGAATTAGAAGCTTCCAAAATTTATTGGGTTAAGACGATTCAGCAATCACATTTCCAACGGGAACTCTCGATTCTTTCCAAGGGAGACGTTTTACCTAGATCCAACTCACTCTTACGTCTTACACCTATTATGGATTCACGCGGACTACTACGAACGACGGACGCATTCATTCATCTCTTCTGTCTTATGACGCAAAGCATCCTTTAATTCTTCCCCGAAAATCTGCATTTACAACTTTAGTTATTTCTGACGCCCACATGCGCACAATGCACGGAGGGACGCAAGTAACTTTAACATATATTCGAAATGAATATTGGATTATCGGAGGGCGAGCTCCAATCAGATCATATATTTTAAATTGCGTTCGGTGTGCACGATATCGTCAGAAAAGAGCACAACAAATTATGGGTCAACTTCCTATAGAGCGAGTTACTCCATCCCGTCCTTTTTTACACACAGGCATCGATTATGCTGGGCCCTTTCTTACAAAGACTTGGAGAGGGAAGAATGCCAGAACGTACAAGACCTACATTGCCTTGTTTGTCTGCCAATCAACTTCTGCAGTACATCTGGAGTTAGTCACTGACTATACCACCGAAGGATTCATCGCTGCATATAAACGTTTTACATCAAGAAGAGGTATCTGTGCAACTTTAAGAAGTGATTGCGGTACTAATCTTAAAGGTGCAGACTCTGAGCTCAGAAAGCTCTTTTCATCGGCCTCAACTGAATTCGGAGACGTGGCAAATCTTCTAGCAAATGATGGTACTCAATGGATTTTCAATCCCCCTGCAGCTCCTCACTTTGGAGGGAAATGGGAGGCCGGGGTTAAATCTGTGAAATTTCACTTCAAACGAGTGGTTGGAGACCATCTTTTAACATACGAGGAAATGTCTACACTCTTAACTCAGATAGAGGCCGTGTTGAACTCTCGACCTCTCAGCCCTCTGTCCGATGATCCAGACGACGTAAACGCCTTGACCCCTGGGCACTTTCTTATAGGAACCGCTATCTCTACTATTCCAGAACCATCGCTTGAATCTGTCAAAAGCTCTCATCTCACTAGGTGGCAACTCAATCGTCAAATGTTGGAGAGCTTTTGGACACGGTGGTCAAGAGAATGCTTACAAAGATACCTTGCAGTTTATAAGTGAAACAGAACCAACCCTTCGATTCAAGAGGGCTCTCTCGTGTTAGTGATGGATGAGCGATATCCCCCTTCCAAATGGCCATTGGGTCGAATTACTAAGACTCATCCTGGTAAAGATGGACTCACCCGCGTAGTCTCGATTCGTACGCAGACCTCCCTCCTCAAACGTCCAATAGTGAAGATCTGTCCTTTACCTATCTCTAATCATACAGTATAATTCATTCGTTAACTAAGGTTAACGAAGGCGGGCGGAAA